ATCGACACCTTTGATATTTACCACGAATCATAACAGCTGGGATGAAACAAGTTTTCCCTTTACATTGTGTCATAACTTCCTTAAGATCATAACCACTAGTTTGATAATGTAAACCTGATAATCTTAACGAGAATTGCTTCCTTTTCTCGCGTTCCTCCTTGCTCAATAACAGGGGTAAAACTCTAACTATGTCTTTATTAATATGATAGCTCCATTGTTCATTGAAATAATCAATAGAATTCGCATCTTTATACGTAATGAAAGCAACTTGGTAAAGACCAGCACCTCGTGTATAAATTTTCTCAATTTCACCAAGATCTTCAAAGGACTCACGAATTTCGCGTACCTGCCTATACGCAGGAATGTCGATTACTTGAATTGTACTACTATTGGAATTTTGTGACATATCACTATTCTTATCATTTGTAGTAGGCACCTTCTCAGTCTTCAATGGGGTAGGTTGAAGTTTCACATTAAACACTACACCTGAATCACCTTCTTTTTGCTCCTGAATAACAATTTCCATTTTAAGAAATTGGTCAAATTTTTCTTTATCCAAAAATGATACCTTTGCCCCTTGTTTACCAATTTGAACGATAGGTAATTGTGTGTTGTATTGAAAGAGTCCGTATTATTAATTTATTTTTATTAAACAGTAATAGTTAGCGAAAACAAATTTTATAAACATATCAAAAATGAAAAAGTAAAATAAAAAAATGAACTAAACTATCAGAAGAATCTACTTCGACGGTGGGGCAATTAAATACGAAACTATTAAAGATATAACCAACTACACCTAAAAACCATTTCTTTAATTAACCCACTACCTCCCATACACTAGCCAAAACTTGGTAAGTTGAAGCCCGCCCTGCAGAAGAAAGTAAAATTGACCCTATAAAATTATATAAATCAACTACTAAAATCTACTATGGCGCTACGAAGTAAGATTAGTATAAAATTCTATTATATTTTTGCCAAAATAAATGTAATTTCTAACACTATCTAAAGAATCATAATGAATAATATTATTATTACTACTATTATTATTAGGTAATGAACGAACTCTTTTAAACTTTAATTTTTTCTTTTTAGTCAACCCTAACGAACGTTCAAATTCCTTCAGGTGCGAACACCGTGGAATCCAAACCTCTTCAAATATTTCATTGAAAATAAACTGTCTCATTTGAATCAAAACAACAACAACATTTTTCTTTGTAGTCCAAGAATTCAACAAATCCGAAAGTGACATAGGTATAATTCCTTTAATAATGTCAATAAAAGTAAACACGTTAGGATCAGTATTATTAATTTATTTTTATTTTTATTTTTATTAATGGGTTCCAGTTAGAAACCTAACATGGACGCGATTATAAGTAGAAAATTACATATAAGTCAAAATTGACAAAAATACTAACTAAACTACACGCGAAAATAATCTACTCAAACCTGTGGGCAATTAACAGGAAGAAGGTATAATGTGAGATACTAAAATTAGACCCCACGACACAAAAACCCAGATAACGCCACTGCCTCCCATACTCTCGCCTAGGTAAACCTAAGTTTTGGTAAGTTGAAGCCCGTACCCCGCAGATTATCAAACTGAACCGCCAGCCCCTGGTTGGAAAAATCCCCCCACACTGGTCGATAAAAATAAATTCTCCAAGTGACTATATTACCAGAGTTAATAAACTACCTAAGAGTAAACTAAAGGGGAACTTTTTAGTGTCGTGCAATCCCCTAAAGGACACCCACCTCATTTCGAACGATCCCTCCAATCTAAACTAAACTGCAGAAAAAAACCCATGATAGTCCAAATATGTACCACCTTGACCTCACCTGACCAAAAACTGATCACCAAGATCTGCACCCCCCTTAAATTACACCCAACTCTCTCAAAAGAAAAGATCTACAAACCACCTGATGTCGATCAATTTTGGGATACCCCCCTACCCC